GCTGTGCAGTGCTGTTTTAGGAAGGTGCCGGGAGGACATTTGTCACACATCAGCTGCCGAGAGGTTTCTGGGTCATAATGAAGGTACTTTGGAGGAAAGGTTTCCTCGGTGGTCCATTTAATGGAGAGGTCCAGGAACTAGAAGAAGAAAGGGAAATTGTGGCATGTTAGCATGGAAATGGGGTGATTATACTGTGCAAAAGCATTAACCTCAAAAAGTCCTTTACCACCTGAAGCCTTATGTCCTTCCTGCTAACTGAGCTACAACCACAGAAAATAAATTCAGAAGCCATCATTCTTCTAAGTAGCTAAATCTCAAAGACAAAGATGTTGACGGCAGCAAGACTGTAAATCCAGCTCACAGATGGCTGGAGTGGAAACTCATCAGAACAGAAATGATTACACTTAGATGCACCACTAAATAACCCATGTGCCCTGAGCGACACTTCATCTCCCTGGGCTTTAGGATTGTTGCTAGATTAGTGAGTTGGGCGGACTGGTGATTCTCAGAACAGCTATACCAGAGTCACCTAGATTCCTTGATGACAGTGTAGATTCCTGGGATTTACATCCCTAAACATTTCTGATTCCCAGGTGTGGAGTTCATACTCAATAAATATTCCTTCATTGATTCACTTGATGATAGTTGATAGTTATTGAGCCCTTATTTTGTGCCAGGCTCTGTTCTAGGCAGTTGGGATACAGGAGTGAATCAAATAGTCAATAAACTCTGCTCTTGAGGAGTTTACAATCCAACTGGAGGAGCAAGAAAATAAATAACAAACTACACATAAATTATATATTAGAAGGTAAATGTAGAAAATGAGCAAGTCAAAGAGATTAGAAATACAGAGGGGAAGGTGGAGAGATTACAATCTTTAAATGGGGTGATCACAGGTAGCCATATTTAGGATTAGATAATCTCTCTTTAATGTTCCCATTCTATGATGTAATGTGAAGTAAAGAGTTGGCAATTACAGTCATTCTGATCATTCACTTATTCATGCAACAGATATGCACTGAATGCCTACCGGAAATATACCAGGAGTATGCTAGTGAATAAGATACGATCTTTGTCTTTGTGAAGTTTATAATCTACTGGAAAATTCCTAGAATTTTAAGACTGACATTTCCTCCAGAACATCATATGGCACAGTCTTGAGTCTCATTGAGGTGAATGATGTCTAGAAAATTAAATGACCACCTCTCTTCAGGTTAACTGGGAAAAACTTCAGGGAGCAGGCAGGGTTTCAGAAGTTCCCTTCTACAATGGCGGAAGAGGTCTGTGCGGAGAGAAAGATTTTGCGGGCAAGAGTGCTCCTTGGGAGGGCAGCTCCAGATGGGCATTCTGTCTTGTATTCCAGATCTCAAAAGGTCTTCAAGGGAACGTTGAAGAGGTTCCTCACACTAATTAGAAGAATCAGCGCTGCTTGTGTGTAGGGGTGGTTTGCTTGGTTTTTACTGTTTGTTTTGGGTACAGGGATCAACCCTGACTATTTTCAGGCTTTGGGGAAGTGGCAGTCCAAACACAATTATTTTTTCCAAGCTCTGCTTTGCAGAACTCAGGAAATCTCACAGAAACCCTTTGACCCAAGAAAAGATGTGCCAAGCTTGGGAGACAGAACTCCCTTTTGAATTAGGAGAGACAAAGGTGAAGAATGGCCTTTTTCATAAGCATTTGGGCATTTGAATAAGTAACTGCATTCACTTCTATTCGGACATGACAAGCCTCAGGGCTGTCCGGACCTAATATGAACTGATTAACCAGAGGAAAAGAATAAAACATCTCAACAAGGGCCGTGGACCCTTTAACTGAGAACAATTTTCAGAGGGCTGTGATGTCAAGGACTCTTAACCAACAAAAAGTAGAATACGGGGCAAAATCAGGGCTGCTTCTGTGGTCTTTTCAAGACAACCTCATAACCCGAGGGTTTCTGGGGAATGTATGTTCTTGAATTTCCCTGGGGCTTGTTACTGGCTCAGAGAAAGTGGGTCAACATTAGGAGAAAGAAATGGACCAGTAGTGGGTGAAAGCTCTGGTTTGGTCTGGATCTTTCAGAAAGAGATGGAATCTATTCATTCAACACCTAGATACTGAGCAGCCACTGTGTACCAAGTGTTATAGAAGCACGTAGCCTACGGTGACACAGAAGACAAAGACCCTCTTTGCTTTCGAGCTGCTCACAGGCTAGTGAGAAGGCAGAGAGCAGAGAAGTGAAGAGATACATAATCACAAATAATGATCAGTGTTTTGAAGGAAATGAAGCAAGATGAAGTGACATTGTCGCTTGATCTTGATCACTTGACTATATCCTATTATATCTTCCAAGGCCCCTTGTGTGGGGTCAGCTCCAGTATTTCTAAAATCTTCAATGTTAGGGAATGAAGTTTTCCTGATGTCACTTGCAAAGACACGTGAAAGCAAGGATAAATGCCTTTTTCTCCTAATGTTCACTTTCGATTTCCTGAAAAGCTACTTTTGAGGGTTCTGTTCTTCCAAGAAGCCTGGCTCAGAGGTCCAGAGTGATGCCTTTGTTTTGCTCACTACTGCTGAGTGAGCCCCATCCTGGGAGGGCTAGCGGTCCTGGGGCTTCCTCCTGCCTGACTTCCCATCACACTCCCCCTCCCCTGCACCAACACGGCTCACTTACTTACCAGCTGACCCTTTTCTCTCCTACCAAGAAGTGATGAGGATGAGATGGGAAAACCCTACAGACGGGGCTTATGTTCCTCACTAGAAGCAGCCACACAAATAGAAGATCTGACCAAGAATACTGATGCAATTTGTATTTTTCTAGGCAGTTGGACATGACACTGTTGGTTTCCTGAAACCATGCTTTGGAAATTAGTTGCCATTTCTTCAAAATACAGGGAAGCTGAGGTGAAAGGAATCCACAGAGAAAAAAAAAAAACAATAAATCAGGTTGACTTAAGGATTAGAAAGCAATTATATTAGTGAAGGTCATTTCTCCTAGGCCACCACAAGGAATTATCATATATATTTTTAAAAATTGGAGGGCCTTAAGAAACTGCAGACTTGTTTTCAGCAAGTTCTATTGGGCCTTTGTGTTTTACTTGAAAATCTTCCACTTTGGTAAAAAAACAGAACGCTGTGTGGCCAAAATTGGATGCTTATGTCTCCGTTTCTGGTTAGCCCCAATTCCCTCACAGAATTTCTGGAACCAGTTACTGGACAGAGGATGGGCAAAATTAATACATCTCTTCATCTCTGTCCTGTCACTCACTTGCTTCTGCATTTCCTGGAAAAGCAATGAAAACAGATGCCAAAGGAGGACAGATCATCATAACATTGGCTCTCTCTCTCCTTTGCCAGCCAGTAATATTTAAAGCCTAAGAAGAGTTCAAAAGTATTTTTTTTGTGTGAAATGCATAACCACTGCTGAGCAGATACTCATGAAAAGCCAGGACGCGTGCGAGAGTGTCTCTGCAGAAGCATAAAGTCCTGCCGATAAAAGAGGCCACTCTGTTTGGGGGTGTTTTATGCTTGACTTTTTCAAAGAAAAAGTAAATGGAATTTTCTCACCATTTTTTCATTTTCTCTTCCCATTCCCTATCTATTGATCCTTCGGTGTAGACCTAATCCTTGAAGGGAATCCCAGAGTTCTCTAACCTAGTATTTCCCACCAGCCCAGAATCCTTGCTGAAGCCACCCCTTCCCCACTGCCATGCCTCTTTTCTTGAAAAGACACTTAACTTAAGGCTCCATCTCTAATAGCTTTGTCCTTCTCTTCACCTTCCTTTTTTTTTTTTTTATGTTGGGCAGTGTTAAAGAATATTCTATTTCAAACCCATCCATCTTTCCTCACCTATCAAATATCAGCAGGTGATGGTAGTGGGTGAAGGTGATGAGTGGTTTGAATTAGTTGTTCTCCAAAGCATTTTCTAGCTCCACTATTTTGATATGCTGCCACTATAATAATATTGCCGGGTTCAGTAACCACTGAACTTGGAAATAAATGGTTTGCTCTAGCCCCCTCCTACTTCTTATTCCACCCTGTTTTATTTGTAAAACCCCTTCGTACAAACATACTTTGTTGTACTCTGCTTCACTTGATTGTGCTTCGCAGAGGTGTGTTTTTTAACAGCTGAAGGTTTGTGGCAACCTGTGTTGAGCATCTGTCAGTGCCATTTTACCAGCATCATTACTCACTTCGTGTCTCTGTGTCACATTTAGGTAATTCTTGCAATATTTCAGACTTTTTCATTATTATTCTATTTGTTGTGGTGATCTGTGACCAATGATCTTTAATTTATTATTGCAAAAAGATTGTGACTTGCTGAAGGCTCTGATGACAGCATTATTGGATAATAAAGTACTTTTTAATTAAGGGATAGACATTGTTTTGTAGACATAATGCTATTGCACACTTAATAGACTATGTTATACTGTAAACACAACTTTTATATGCCCTGGGAAACCAAAAATTTCATATGACTTGCTCTATTGTAATGGTCTGGAATAGAACTCAGGATATCTCTGAGGTATGCCTATAGTGTAGAACTCTCTTACCAGTATCCAGTTTTCAGATTCACCCACCCCTTCCATTCTCTCCATAAAACTGGTGGATGCCCTGGCACCTTAAATTCTCAGCCATGCCTTTTCCTTTAGCATGCTGTCTCCTGTCTGTATTCACCAGTGGAGATGCACGCTTAGCAAAAGTCACTTGTATGTTTGCTGCTGAATTTGTTGATGCTCATTGTATACATGTATCTGTATATGCTGCCATTGCAATTATAGTTAGGTGACTCAATTAACTATTATGTAAACCAGTAAAGATGGGTGTGAAAAAATTATTTTCCTATGAAAAGTAAATTGAATGGTTAGGGGATGACTTGATAAAAATGAGGCAAGAAAAAATGAAAAACAAAACAAAAAAATCCTGCCATAGAATCTGGAGTCACTGAAACAACTATAAGAACAAAAAGGAGAAAACATCTGGAAGGATTATGTAGTCAATTTGTTTCATAAATGTCTTTCAGTTCCAAAACTGAAGTGGACGGCCAGTACATTATAGATAAGGGTTTTGTAAGAAAGACAGCATGGGACTCCAGTCCGCTAACACAGATTCCAAGAAGAGCCTTGGCTATCTCTCAAAACACAGGTGAATGAATGCTTATTTAAATGTTTTGAGTCAAAATAAAATATTTAAGATACAGGCATAGATAATTTTATTATTAAATGCTTTAACTGATTTTTTCAATTAATCACATAACTCTTAGTCCCAAACATAAAATTTCTAATGAAAAGTCCTCATATTTAAGAAGTAGAGTGATACGGCGGTGGTAGGTACCGGAAGCAAACATGGGCAGGGTGAAGATAGGATGTCTATTCCATTCTAACATGTGCACGTTTAATCTCTACTCTGGGCCAGGCAGTGGACTGAAACATAATCTTGATAATATTCTGGTTTGTACCTACTTTAGGATGCATTACCATTATCATCGTTAAGCCTCGACCAGCTACAAAAATGAGCCTTAGAATGACTAACCATCGTAGGTCACAGTAACCAGTGGAGGCAGAATTAAAACCCAGAGCATGTGCCATTGAATATGATTTTTGGCCAAATCCTTTAACATTTACCAAATGCTCTCACTTACGTTATAGCCTCCATGCATAGTCCAAAAGTAAGCCTCCAGAGCATAGAGACAGGAGATCATGAAAGTGAGATGAACCAAAGCCTTCCCCAAGTCCAGACGAAGTGACAGTTTTTATTTCTTTGTGCCAACTAGTGTCCAGAGGTACTGAGATGGAAATTTCTCAGATGACAAGTGATTGGACTACAGCAGTCAACCCGTGTATGCTGCTTCTTAAAGGACACAAGAAGAGTACACTTCCTCCAGCGAGGTTATTTTTGAATGATGCAATGCAGCCAATCCCATACTACTGGGCTTACTCTCTGGTATGCAGAACCATGAGTGACCCAGTGGGTTTCCGTTTATGGAAAATTCATTAAAAGGTGCCCACGCAAAGCTTGAAATAACTACTTGGTTTGGGAGTTCCTTTTGTGATCCCTCGTCATGATCTTCGCCGCAGAGAACTATTTGAGGACTATCCAGAGTTAGCTAAACTTCTGGTCAGTTTGGAAACCATGCCATTTTATAGTTCATCTTAGCCAACAAAGGAAACATTCAGGATATATATCGTGGTGAATTTCCTAAAGATCTCTTGTAGTGTAAAGTACATATCTTATTTAAAAAACAAACAAACAAAAAATTCTTTTCCTATGAAGATTAGCTTATTTGATTTTCTATAGTCTTAGAGTGAAGTAACTTCTTCCCTTTTTCCTCCAATAATTTATGTATTCATTCAATCAGCAAACATTTATTGAAAAAATTACTAGGCTCTGGAAATATTGCTAAGCGATAGTGTTGAGTAAGTTAATGCTCCTGTTTTGTAGGCATATTCATCCAAAAGCCCAGCCTGATGTAAAATACTCCTAAATCACTGCAAAACAGTCGGAGGTAGAAGAGAGGAGAAAGAAGACCAAGAAGAGACTCGACAGGTCAGAAATGATAAGAGGCCGAAATCAGACAATGGTAAGGAGAAGGGATAGCTACGACGTTAGCCGATCGCAGGGGGAGGCTGGTACTAGAAAGAGCAAGTGAAGAACGCGCCCATGAATTCTGATTACTCGGTATGTGGTGTTGCCATTAAGTACTGACAGCAGGAGGAGGAAACATGAAGGGAGGAAGACGGTGAATTTAGTTTGGAACATCTTCCAACTATGGGACACAAGGGGTGATGTCTAGTGGACAAGTAGATACATGTATTGGGTATTCAAGACAGAAATATAGCTGAAGACACAGATTTCAGGGTGGCAAGCATGTAAATGGCTCTAGAAGCAGAGAGGTAGGATGGCATTAACCAAGGGTATTGTATACCAGCAAAAAAGATTAAATGTTAACCTGTGGGACTTACACACATTTGCAAGATGGGATGAAAAGGAGAAGGTTAAAAAAAGTAGGACTATCCCGGGAAGTTTCGAGAGGAACAGTAAGTGGATAATGAATAATAAGTTCTAATAAGTGCACAGCATGGCCATTAGATCTGTGTGAATTAACAGGAGCACGTTCAGCTGGGAACCTGCGTACCAGGGTTCCAGACTCAGTTCAACCAGTAACCCTTGGTCAGTATCTTACCTCTGAAGTGCGAATTCCTGTCCCATTGCTGTATTTCAAGTAAGTAAACGGACACAAGTAAACTTGGTAAGGCATACGGTTCCAGACAAGTGTCAGTCCTCACATATGCTAATTGCACAGGAGGTGGGAAATGGGGGGAAAGACTCATTTTTGGAGACACTTTGAAGTTTCTTGTTCAGTAGGAAGTAACACACCTAAAATGTGCCACGAGTTGATTATCTATACTATTCTTAATCATTTCCCAAAAAAAGCATCTGTGACATGTTTTTAAGATCAGTTTCAGTATCTTTCCAACCTGTATAACTTTCTTGGTCTAAGTGAAGTATTTCAGCTCTACAGATTAGCTTAGAGGGCCCTAGAAAAGTATTTGTTTCCATACACCTTAGATGGTTAGCACGGTGTATGGTGTCTTATACCTAGCAGGTATTCAATATATTTAATTTTCTTTTATTCAATTTGATAGATAAATTGAATACCTCCGATGTGTAATTAGGATTACACGTAATGCTGTAGACGCAGATAAATACCCACCAGGTAAAGGATAAATTTTCAAGGACAACCTCAACGTCTGCATTTTTCTCATCTGTAAAGTGATGGTGATGACAGAATTTGCCTAAAGGAAGATTTTTTTTTTTAAAGCAGCTTTCATTTTGCTTGGCATTTTGCATGCACGGTTCTGTTTGTATTTAGTTTCCCTTTTAAAAGTAAACGTGTGAAAAAAGCAGATAGATCATCTGAGAGGTTTATCTGCTGCTGCCAGGTTCCCACCTGAAGCTCTGCCACTGCTTAATAATTTCCACAATAGCCAGGATCAGGTCTCCAGGTAAGCAGAGCAAATGCATAAAATCTGTTCATCTATTAGGAACTGGTTTGCTGCCAACAGCTTTCACTAAGTAAACAGGGAAAAGGAAACACAAGCAATTATGATTTATTAGATGAATCCCTGGGCCAGATTTTACACTTTTGCTTCCCTTGGGGCTGAAGAACTGTCTCCAGGTGAAAGTTAATTTTAAATGTGGTTTTTTTAGTTCCTTTCAAGAAGTTTCTTTTAGTTGTTTGGAGGCTTTTAAAAATAATTAGCAGTACTTTTTGTTTAGAATCAACCAAAAACACCAGAACAGGTTTATTTATGATGTTTTTTGCTGCTTCAGAGGAATTCTACAGACAATTAACATTTGATTGATTAACGCATAAAGGAGAACATTGCTGAGAAAAAAGAACTTGTAATGCAGGTAAACCTTCAAACTCTCCAAAGGAGATACATAGAAATCTCTTATATTTTGGCTCTCAGAGCTGAGTATTTTTTTCTCTCGGACTTCTGTTCATCACCAGATTTAAGATATAACATCAGTTCTCAAAATTTCAACTCAACAGCAGGGCTGGTCGCAGTTTCTCTTATAATTGTGCCCCTTCAGGCCCTCTTCACGAGCACAGGGCCCACATCACTACCTCAAACTTTTCCAGCTACAGTCCCTGGCAGTTTGGGCTCAGAATTGGCAATACATTTTAGTATGTTGCCATTTTTTTAACATCAGTTTTACTTCTATAGTGCCTTTCCTTGAAAATAATACATTGCTCACATTGCCTTATGAATCAATTTAGTTGCTAATGATCTAGACTGAAGCCCAATTAATCCAATATATGGTTAAGGGCAGCTGGTGAGAGAAAGTTAGAAAAGATCAGCCATGGTGGTTATGAAATGGAATAGAAAGTAGAAATGGAAATGGACTAAAATAGGGTGTGAGTTGAACATGTAGACATTTACTGTGTGCCTACAACATGGGAAACATCGTACTGGAAGCTCTGGGTGGTATGATAAATAAAAATAGCACATTTATTATAATATTATTACATGGTCCATTCTATACTGAGCCCTTTCTTCATTGGCTATTGTTATCCATCCCCTCCAGCCACCACTGAGGTGACAGTAGGATCCCCATTTTATAGATGAAGAAACTGAGTCTCAGAGAAGTTGAGTGACTGATCAAAAATCACAGAGCTAGTACACATCTGAGCTGGGATTTGAATCTAATCCTTTCTGAATCTAAGCCTTTAACAACTGACTCTTTCCTCTGGGGACCTGTGGCGTTACCAGGGAGACAGGCATATAAATGATCACCTGTGACACAACGTAAACTTCAGTAAGATCTGTCTTTTGTCCATTGGTCCATCCATCCATCCATCCATCCATGCCATCCTCTGTCTATCTATCTATCTATCAGTCATCTATCCTGGTGAGTAAATCCTTTTCTCTGTCCTGTCCTGAAACGCAGCCGCTCTCACACAGCCTCTCTGGAAGACAGTCCTGTGAGACTGAGCAGTCAGTCACACTTTACACGAGCAGCAGCTTCTCAGTAATGCAGCCCCTCGAATTCGCTGTCCTTCCTCTTTGGCTTACTCTTCTTTTGCTCACTCCCGCTTCCCTAGGATTGCACTTTCTAATAAGGAATTAATATATAAAGTGTTTGCCTCGTGCTCTAAATCCTAAGGGATCTGGACTTAGAACTCAAGTCTAGTAAGGAGGCCAGGACCCCCTCCAGCTGAAGGAGGAGCTAAAAAAGGGTGAAAAAATACATTGGAATCACTTTGCCCAAGGATGTGACTCTGAGCTCCATCCTGGGACATCCTTAACCCCCGCAGAGAAGAGAGCTCCAGTTGAGGGAACCCAGAGGCTTTGCTCTGCTTTATGAATGTTTTTCAGTGAACTCAGCTGCTAGATGGAAGCTCCCATAGGACAGAAAAACCTTCTCAGCTAGGTCACCTTAGAGAAAGTGACTTAACTTCTCTGAACTTCAGTTTCCTTGTCCATAGAATAGATACCAATCTCTGCATCAGAGGATTTTTGTGCAAATGAAGGCTGTTGTCATTGCCCTGTGCCCAGGACTTAGGATGAAATAGAAATTAATGTCTGGGACATGGCTGGATGGCTGTGAAAGAGGGAAAGAGAAACAAATGTTGGGGGTCATATACAGGTGATTAGATGTTCTAATTTGGAAGTGACTTAGATCATTTCAACTCCCAAGTCATTATCAGAACTATTCACACCCCCCAACCTCACCCCTCCCTCCCTCGCCAAAGGGGGCTGGGAAGTACAGTCTTACCATGTTTCTGGAAGGGAGGAGAATGGAGGACACTTACAAACAGCGCTAACAACTACGTCTTTGTTCGATAGACAGCCCTTATACTTTCTAGTTGACCTTTATTTTAGCACAGTCTAGTTAAATTTTCCCCTTTTTACTGGATATTAAAAGAAAAGACAGGAAACAGAGTGTGGGATCAGAGGGTTCTTTCAGCCCGGGTAGTACCCCAGTGGCGTATTTAATGGTCATGCTAGCCTACACATGGTCATACTTATTCCACCTGAAGGTTTGACATTTATTCCAAAGAGCAGTATGCAGTCGTCAAGTACTTCCTTGTGAATGCGAATTCAAAATTCTGCTCAAGGAGTCTAAGAAGATTACTGGTGACCATAATTATACCTCTTTAGTAAGTCCTGAGGGAATGTCTTGAACTGGCTTCTAACTAAATAGAATATGAAAAATACACACATTAACGACTTCTGTGAATCCTAGCTAAAGACAAAAAGGGCTTGTTTCAGAATGAAAAAATAGTTTTTCGTTTAAAAGAATAACCTGGGATCCTAAAACACAGAAGTCTTACCACTTAAAAGTAGGTAACAGTTCAAAAGCTGCTTCCTCTTGTGATCTCACTGACTTGAACAGAATTTCCTATCAGTGAAAGTAACTGGGCAGAAGAAACGTTGACAATGGCAACAGAATATGTATTTTTTAATTTCGTTAGTATATTTTTTCATAGATAAATAAGTCCATTTGATTTTTGTATGTTTGGAATATTAAGTGATATATAATCAAAAGGTTTAATTCATTTTGATGACAAAAGCTTAAAACTAAAGCAGACCTGCCAAATAGCACCTGGTCCAACACCCCTAATTTAGAAATGAGCAAAGTAGGAGAAGTGAAGTCACTGACTGGACCTCAGAGCCTAGGGCAAAATGGAGAAATAAGATCCCTTGTCTCTTGTCTGCTTGTCTCCCTTGCAGAGAGAGGTCTTATTGTCACTATGCCCCATAACTGAAATCCTAAATTACTTTTTGTTGTTGGTGGTGGTGGTGCCAATTGATGGTGGGGTGGGGAAACTTTCTAAAGAATAGGGTCTTGATACCCATATTTTTCCAAGAATAAAGTAAATAGGGTTTCTTTTTTGAATAAGAAAGTAACATTACATGACAAGGGAGATTTGGGGATCAAAGATCGGAGAAGAAAATTGAATTTACCAAAGGCAGTCACAAAGCTGAGATGAATTACTGTCTTGTTTTAAATCTAAATTCATCTTGACACCTATTTGTCTATTTTTATAGTTGATTATTTAAGAGGCTCTCACAGAAAATGCTTCCAAGGTGCAGACTAAATTGAAGTGAAAATCCTAAGGCGACTCTTTTTTAGTTTTATAGAAGATGCTTCAAAGAAAATTAAACAAAGTTTTCACAGTATTAAACCTATAAGACTAAAGAGATGAATTTTTTAAAAATTCCACTAAGAAAGTAATAAATCAGGGCTTTTAGGAGCACATGACTTTTTTTAGAAGGGCTTCAGAAAGAACATTTCCTTTCCTCCTTCATCCTCTGTCCATTTATGGTCCGGCTGATTCAGGTGCTTCTGAGAAACTGGGGTGAAAAAAGAGCTACCCAAGCACCTGGGAAGTTATGTCACCTTGGAGCTGGCAGGAACCATTTTAGTGTGTCTGTAGACTGTTCTGGCCTCGGGAACATTCATTTAGAGAGGCCAGGTAAAAGCGAGAGGGAGCGGGTACCACGCAGCTTCTTACCTAATGTGTTGTAACACTATTCTTATCCCTTACAACTGTCTAAAAGAATTCTTTTTTTAGACTTTCTATGCTAGTTACCCCAAAATAAATATTCTGTGGTAGTGAGTTCCAAAAACTAATTACATGTCACATAAAAATACCGTGTGTATTTCAAGTTGGCTATACCTCCCTCTTTCTTCTTGCACAGATAGTTTACAGATGTTGCTAGGATTTCCGATTGACTAGTTCCTGCTCTTGTGGGTTGCTAAGTTTGATCTGATTTTTGTTTTCTTTTCTAAACATGGCTGCTATTACTGTTCGTATCTGCATTTTGTTTACCTATCAGCATCAGAAATGCCCTCTGGGGCTGCTTCCTCCCCTCCTCTCTTGCCCTGTGAAATCATCTGTCCCTATAGCTTTAAAAACCCATTCTTATGCTGATGACCTAGAGTTTTTAATCTTCAGTCCAAATTTCTCCTTCGCTCTGAACTTTTTCTAAATCCAGATGCCTGTTTGACATCTCTCTTGGTCTATTTTATGAATGTATCAAATTTATTAAACCAAAAATGGACACTTGATGGGAAGGTCAGGAAGGGGGTTCACCTGATGTTAGGTAGCACCTGCAAGGGTCAGTATTATAAATCTGGCTCATTTTTTCACTCTCTTAAGAAGGGACCCTTATGAAGGTATTGCTACGTACCTTCATAGTAGAAAGGGACAAAGGAATATTTAAAATATTGGTCAGGTGGGTAGGGTGTTATATTTTTAAAAGAGATCAAAGCTCATGTTAGAATGTTAAATCTCTGACAGTGAGCTCAATTCTGTTGGCGTATCCATGGAAACCAATGGTAGATTATACAAACATCCTAGCACATCTCACCGTAGCTCCTTTGACTCAGCAAACACAAATTTAGTGTCAGGCACGGCGGAGACCTGGGGGCTATAAATATGAATCAGATGAAAACCTGTGTTTGCAAAGAGCTCATATTTTGTTGACCACAGGGGTAGTGCTATCCCCTAGAAGTTCTGGAAATTTGTGGGGGATTTCTGTTGTCACAACTGCTAGATGTCCCAAATAATCAAGAATAATCACATGTCCCACACACTTTTAAAATGTCCTATGGACGACTAATATAAGTGCTCTAAGTAAAAAAATAAAAATAAAAAACAAAAAAAAACTGTTATTATATGAACCTGGATTCAAATTCCATTATATATACATACATACATATATATATATATAGTGATTTTTGCATGATTTTTATACATATTGAATTTTCCAGGAATTTACAACATAAAATTTGATAGAGGATTGTACTTTGTTTTGTGTAAAACTTCAGCGAGATTTGTGTACCATTTCAAAAAATCGCAACACCAAAGCCAACACTGATCACGGTTTTGAATACCAGTGTGACACATGTGCTCCTGTCTTTGTTCCTTTTGGTCTGTTCATGGCAATTCTACAAAAAGATGCTAACATATCACCACTTCATTAAGTCTTCTAGTGAAGCTTATTTTATTATAAATTACTTTCCTTTTATTTCTCCTTTTTAGTATAGTTATGCTGGTATATTGATTTTTTAAAATTCTATATGTAGGTAAAATATATGTGCTTTAAATTTCATTTCAGGAGAGCAAGGGAGTTGTTGTTGCAAAGCGTGTGTTTTAAAAGTGGATGGAAGAAGTCTGATCTGATTGAGAACTACTCATCTACCAGGTAAGACACACACACACACACACACACACACACACACACACACACACACACACACACACACACACACACACACACACAAATGCACTGATGATGTAGGCATCTCGGCTCCGTAGTAGCAACATCAGGGGCAGCCAGGCATCATCAGGCAAGGCCTGAGTAATGCAAACATAATTTTTTTTACAACGACTCTTTCTCTGCAATATACTTCCCAGTCCTCTTTTTCTGGACTGCAAAGAAAAAACTCAGGCTAAAGGAAATGCTACTGGCTAATGAGATGCAAAAGGAAATAGTGCTTTTCACAGAAAGCTTTTAGGAAAAGGGAACATGCAGGCAGGGGGGCTGAGGGTTACTTAGAGCAAAACCCAGCTGGCAAGTTAGCGGTTAGGAGAGCAAGAACATTGGAGTGTGTTGGTGCCCCTTTGACAGACACCGCCGCAGCTCTCCTTCTAGAACTAAGTGGATAAAGCATCTGGCACAGAATGCTCTCTTCCCCTACCAGTGGAGTTTGACAACTGTGGTTTTAACCTAAGAAGTGAAATTAAAGACCAGATTGAAATTAGGAATTGTGCGGATGGTTGATGGGTGACAGAAGCCAGCAAGGTTGCTAGGACAGAAGTTGAGGACTCTTTTGGACTGAGTGTATATACGATTCTCCTGCAAACTTCAGAGGGATGATTCTCTTAAATTAAACAAACAGGAAGGCTAGATAAATACACTCAACCACTGGGAGAAGGGGAGAAAACCAAAATAAACAACAACAAAATGACAAAAAATCAGGAAGACAGATATATCAGGCAGTTGTCCTGAAAAAAAAGCCATCTGTGACCTCCCACTCCTTCACCCCTGCCCCCTACCCCAAGTCCTAGGAACATAACATTAATTCAGAGCTTAGCTTTGAGAAGGCCAATAAGTGGTTCTGGCACTCCATGATGGGCAGTTTCAGCCACCAGTTAAAAACTCAGTCTAGACCAGGATGTTCCCAGGGTATCAGGAGGCATCTTGGGCAACATGAAAGAAATGACTAGGAGATGTGACCGCCTCCCCTTGCAGAGTCGGTCTGTAACTGCATTAGTGAGCATTCCAGAAAGCCCAGGACTCCGGCATTAGTCCTAATGACCACCACCCCCTCACTGCTTGCCTGCCAGCATGCTCTCTGCTCTTACAGAAAGAATCTAAGATTCTACTTGGCCAAACAATTTTACCTTCTTCCACTTCTTAGATTCAGGATGCCTTGCTTTTATCTCCAACAGTGAAACATTCTAGTCCTCCTTCAAAGCAGTAGTCAGTGGCCATCTTTCCCTCCTCTGAGCACCATCAACACTTTGTTTATATAATTCACTTGGGTCTAGGTCGTCCTGCAGTTATCTGTAAGCATGAGGCTATAAGCTGGTGTTACTATGGGACAGGAACTTTATGTGGTTGTCTTGCATGTGTGCATCTTATTATCTCTATTTTGTAAAGGAGGAAACTAAAACTCAAGAGAGATGTAACTGGCCCACAATCTTTTATCAAGTAGTGGTCCTGGTGTTTGAATTTTCATCCAAAGAAACCAAACTCATAGCTACTGCACAGCAACTTCCTTTATAAGATCCTGGAAGGCAGGATCTTTCCTATCACCAAGTCACCTAGTACTTCTTTTTCTATTATTCTCATTACACATCCAATATCTGCCTTCTCCATTAGGCTCTGTGATCCATGGGGACAGAAACAGTGTCTGTGTTTTCCATTCTGTCCCTAGTGCCCAGTGGCATACCTGGTACAAAGGACCAAATACCTGTAGTGCTTCCGTTTCTTAGAACTACATCTTGATGATTACAAAAGGGCATTTGTATGCTTCATGTGTCAGTACTAAGTGTCCGTTTCCAATCATTTATAAAATAAAGTCAATCTCAGAAAATATACAAAGGAAAAGGGAAATTTTCCTATTTAAAGTATTCACTGTGTTTAAGACACAATAAAAGTTTTCTCTTTTGATAATGCTGTATCATCTACAATTAGTAGGTGATATATTACCTACATACATATCTATATCCATATACATGCCACATATCAAAACATTTGTCTGTTTAGGAATACTTATTATTAGGTACATATATAATGGCAATTCCAAAATTTAAAAACCACTGATAATATGTTTATTATTAATTAAATCTCTGACAGAATACAAAAGGCTAGGAAGAATAAAAATGTGCCCATATTAATAGAAGAACTATTTATTCTGGCCCAAAACTAGAATAAGTAGATCAATTGTGGTGTAGCCACACAGTGGAATACTATACAGCAGTGAAAATGTGTGAGCTTTTGTACATCCAACAGTGGAGGTGATATCACGGTAAAACCATAAGTGAAAGTAGCCATACACACACAGAAACTACATAAAGTTCATTTATATAAAGTTCAAATACAAGCAAAACTCATCTATGGCATTAGGAGTTAGAATACTGATTTCTCAGGCCTTGTCCATAGTGATGACAGGGAGGAAGCCCAGGAAGCTTCTGGGATGCTGGAAATGCAGTGTTGCTTGATCTGGGTGCTGGCTCACAAGTGTTCACTTTGAGAAACTTCAGTAGGCACTTATGATTTGTGTCATTCTCTCTACGTGTCATGCTTTAATAAAGGTTCACGTTTTAAAAAGTTCTCCATTCTCTCCATATTGGTGGAATAATGATATATGCAAACACACAACATATATGTAGTGGTACATAAGATTAGCATACTTCAGTGTGGACTCGTGTTAATCTACCTCTTCTTAAGTGACGTTGCTGTTTACTTATTTCCTTATGTCTGTGTATCCCAAGAACTGATTGGGAGACTCCCTAGCCTCCCACCCACTATTTGTGGGTTGGACATTGGAATTCAAGCAGTTACTGCAATACTTTCAAAAACATACATGTGGCTTAAATATGGATTTTCCTATCCTTTCATGAATGTCTGATTCATATCTCAGTGTACTCCACACTCTGGTGACATAAAGGAAGTAAATCATTGATCATAGACTAATCTACATACAAGTCTTATTAATTTGATTGGTTAGAATTTAAATTAAAAAAAAAGAGCCAAGTTATAGAAATTCCTTTCTTTTCCAAATAGTATGTTAAAAATAACTTTTAACCTATTTAGTGCTAAACCTTAATTATTTAAATATATTTTAAAATATAATTAACATTATCACGATATTCTCCACATTATATTGAAGTTGAGAACTGAAATAACCCATTTTAATAATAAAATGTTATTAAATTTTGCATTTCACAGTAAAAAAGTGTGTGTGTATGTGAGAGAGAGAGAGAGAGAGACAGACAGACAGAGATCTTTTCTCTGGTGCCAATTATTAAAAATTCTCCATAATATTTGCTTAAATGGGGAATGAGCCTAATGATCTATCATATCATATTCACTGCATCCAAATTTTATTCTAATTATAATAGTTTTAAGAAGGCTGACATCTCCCACTCTATTCTGATCATAAGGGACCACTTTATTGCTAATAATAATAACGCCCAAGTTAACTAAGTAAAGATGGAGTGAATCATCTGAGATGAAGAAAGACAATAAATAAAATGGGTAATACTCATTCAAATAAAAAAGGTCCAGAGCTCTTCTCTCTTCCCCATAAAACCAGCAGGAACTTTCCAGTGTAAAAGGACACCCTAGGAGAAGCACAACCAGCTTGGAAAGAGATCTGTTCCAACCTGACCCAGATCTCTGCTGGAAGAGGGAGCGAGTTGAGCTTTGTCCCCATCAGTCCCCTGGGAGGTGGGGAGACCGGGAGGCAGGCAGCCTGCCCAGGCACCCGGGCATCAGCGCCCGCGTCGCCGGCCAGGGACTTACCACGAGCGCGCAGCACAGCCACTTGTTCATTGTGGTCCCCGGGAAACCTCAGGCGCTCGGAGGCGGCGGCGGGGCGAGCGCTACGGTGCGACTCCGCAGCCGGTGCACTCATCGCGTTATATATAGTGTCCGGGCAACAGGAAGTTTCGGCTTGGCTTTTGATCATTCATTCCCTATCTGGACCAAAGTTTACACCTTTCTTTTTTAGGAACCTTGGGCGGGAGCAGGGACGCGGGGGGAGGGTGCGAAAAACTCCGGGGTTAACGCTTTCAGAGCCAGGGCGGAAAGAAGCGGCAGGAGAGGTGGGAGTAGGGGGTGGGGCGGGGATGTCTGGCCCCCGGGAGGGAGAAAAAAAAAAGCCACCCGGCTGCGGAACAAGGCGGCTGCTGTCTCCGCGCGGCTCTGAGGTTTCCTGGCCCCTTCCCGCCAGCGGCCTGCCTCCTGGCAGCCGCGACCGGCGGTGGGAGGGCCGGGCGCACGCTGAGTAGCCGCTGTGCCGGGCTCCTCCACCCTGAGCGTCCGATGCAGCCAAGATCCGGGCGATGCCTGCAGTGTGTTCCAGGCACCGTGTCCCACTTTTGTCTGACCCCCTTCCTAGCGGGTTCTGGGAGCTCAGAACACAAGCGTTCTTATTCGTGCACTACATTGTCTCAGAGCGCACAGTTAGGGGAGTTTGCAATCATTAATCAACAAAGTTGCATAAACCACATAGAAGGAACTTCTCTTAACTTATGTGTGTTTAACAGGTCACTGTTGTCTGGGGTAGAGAGTCAGGGCAGGAAAAGCCTTGCAGGCTGGGAAATACCTTGGCCGCTATTTTCTTCGTCAGCACCATCATCATCAAAGAGTTATCGGTCCCTTAGTGTCTTACATACTGAAATTCTGGAGTTGCCTCTTCGAGGTCTTCCCACTGCCCCCAAGCTGTTGGTGGGAATTTGGTGCTTTGCTGAGGGGTTCTTGCCTTCCCCACGGACTCCCACCACCAGCTTGTCTGGAAGTTGGCCCCAACCACGTCTAAAGTGTGGTCCCATTCTGAGGTCCTGCAGTTCACCAGTTTATTCTCAGGTTGCAACTAGAACTCTGTCCTTACAGATGCTGAAAAAGACACTGCAGAGCCAGCCTCCCCATTAGCGCCGAGTGTTCAATTCTGTAGCTCCTGAGGAGGACAACTTCTGCTTTTCATCAGAGTTCAAGTAGAGAAAGGGGAAGAATCGAGGCGGGGTTGGGGGGTGACCCCCCAGGGGCCCAGTGTTACCCACAGGGATCAGAGCATCTGCTCTTTCAAAGCAGCATCTTTCCCCCAGGAGGTCAATGTGGATCCATAGACAGAGTAGAAAGTACTTAGAGGGAAAGATTTCAGCTCTTCGGCTCTGACCGTGAATTACAGAAGACAGAGGGGCTTATTCAGCTTTCTCTTTCCCCAGCATGGTGGTTTCTTAAGTGAACTAGTGACTGAATGGAGATCAGTGAGTGGGGACGAAGTGGTATGACTCCAGACCTGCCCCTCAGCTCCTGAACTTCAGCTTTGACACCTACGACCTGAGCTATTGACTTTCAGACTGACCATGGGACTCAAGTAAATTCAAATGTGAGTAGTAAAGCACCATGTAAACGACAGTGTTATTGTCTTTACTAGGGTAATGCTTGTCTAGGATACCATTTGAAGGCATTTTTCTTGAACTAGCATATGATGCCAGTGTGCAGGAGTCAAATCTTGGAGAAAACTGACCAAGGATTGAGTCCTGCTGTGTTAGCCCTGGGACAGCTGTATGACTCTCTAAGCCTCGGGTTCCTCGTGTGTAAAATATAGTACTGCTATTACAGAGATGTGGGCAGGAGAAAATAAAAGCATTTTTTTAAGTGTTACATAAATTAGATTAATCACTAATTGTGAGCACTACATAAAGCATGCTGAGATAACTTAGCACAGTTTACTCATTTACAGCTGTGATTGTTTTAGGGGAGTACGTAAGATACTGGTCTTTAGAGCCAGACTCCTAGACTTGAACCCCAGATCTACTACATCCTGGCTCTGTGACCTTAGGCAAGTTTTATCTAACCTATCTGTGTTTCTGTTTGGTTTCGTTATCTGTACAGTGAGAATAAAAATCATGCCAACCTCAGAGGATTATAAAGGTTACTATGAGGTTTAAATTGGATAAAACATGTAAAGCGCTCAACATAGTATTTAGCTCACACTAAGTACTCACTAACTGCTAGCTATTATTATTGTTGTGTTGTTGTTATTATTATTATTATCTGAGATTCTTGCAGAGACATTTATACAAATACAAGATAAGCCTGGACTGTAAGCTCCTGAGGGCAGGAATCATATATTTTCCTATGATAGTCCTTGAAGTTTTAGTTCAGCCAGCATCTGGCCTCCCTAAAATTATTCAGTAAATAATAGTAATGGCGGTGGTGTGTGTGTGTGTGTATGTGTATGTGTTTATGTGGAAAGGGGTGTAATTAGCTGTCATCTTGAGAAAAGTCAGGCACCATTTATCCAAGAGTCACAAAATAGACTATGTATTGACTGTGCATTTCAGGGCCTGACTGTGGGCTGTTTATTAATCTCCCACTGCCAAGAAATAGACAGACAATCTGAGTTATCGGTCACATCATTGTTCTATTCCTGGAGCAATCTGGCCAGTCCCCCTGGGTCTTCCCATGTCATGCACGACAGTGAGCAGCAGGCCCTAAACACTTGGAGGCTGGAGTTCATCTTAAGCCTGGTTTGGAATGGACCCAGGGATTCGAGACTGAATCCAAGGGGAGATGTCGGAACACTCACTTGGCAGACCCCATTCATCTTCCTGTGACAGAGCCTTCACTGGCAGGGGCGATTCGTGACATTAAACCGAGTGTCCTGTAAATGTAACTTTCTGTTTCTGGGCACCAGAGACATGTGATGCTGACTTTCTAGGTGACCCTCATCGGGTAGCCCTCATCTTCTCTTCCCTGAGCTCAAAATTTGGGTTTGGCCCCAGATCAAACACGTTTTCACTGCCCAGATTTCTGATTGCCCCCGCCTCCATTTCAGCCAATCCTATGGCTTAAAGAAATGGTGCCTGAATACTGGGAAGTCCCACCAGGAAAACATTTCGTCTCTTTAGCACAGCAGCAAAGCACCTGATACGGAAGGCCATTTATAATCGTCATCATAATGGAAATGCCTGAAACTCAGGACAGGCGTTGATCTAGGTCATCTAGGAGACAAAGCGTACCAGTGGGCTCTGAAGTGACTGATTGAATGTCTAGAACATCTTACACCTGAGCTCCCACTCCTGCCAACTGGAAGTACAAGTTCTGAGGTAATTGCATATGAAAGGTTATTAACTAGAAGAACAAGAAAATATTCCTTGTTATTTCATTGATATTAAAATGAATCTTTTTCTGATTTCATAGAAGAAACAGAAGGAAAAGAAGAGAAATATGCAACTAGCCTATTGATTTTCTTCTCTTCTTTTATTAATGTTTGCCAGTTTCTTCATTAACAAACACAATTTTAACTACTAATATTCTAGACAAAAGCTGTTTGACTTTTAAGGTGTTACAGACTCTGCACAAAAATGGGTGTGTGCTTGCTTTAAGAAATAATGTGCAGAAAGGCCAGGTTATATATATAGCTGAAGTGCTTTCTGCTTGAGTAAGTCACCCATCGCTTATGGGTCTGGACGTGTTGGACCAGGGCTCAGTAAGAGCTAGCTAGGGTCCCCACTCAGTGGTAGGATGACTCCAGCATTGTCACTCATTCATTAAAATGGTCCCTTCATCTAAAGCTGCCATTAATCAAACAGTCACACAAATATATAAAAACAGGACTGTGTGTTACATGGAAAGAAATAAGCTACAGTAGGAGTAACTGACCCAGTATGATTTTAAACCACATCTCTCTAAAGCGAGTATGTTAACTAGTGGTGAGAAGACGGTGCGGGAGAGAGAGCCCTTGGGCAGGGACGACAGGCTGTTAGCTGACCTTGAGGTGAGAGGAAGGTGTGATTTCAGGAATTAGGAGAAGCCTAGTATGGCTGTTACATGGAGAGCAAGTCATTGCCTGGACTGGAAGAGGCTGCAGAAGTGAGGGGACAGTGGTCAGGCTGCAAAGTGTAACTGATTCTAGTCTTTCTCCAAAACACCACAGAAAGCACAGGAGGGTTTTAAGCATAGGAGTGACATGACTATTATAGCTTCTGTGGGATGGAAATTCTCTGACTTTCACCCTGCCACCCTCAGGGTCATAGGTCCAAACATAGTCATAAAAGAGAAAACGCTCTTTCACTAAAAACCACAGCGTAACTTGAAAAGTATTTTTCCAAGTTTAAACTTCTTTTTAATACCTGCCTATGGTAAAAATTCAAATCTTAACACGGATACTATGGAGGGTAAACTTCTATTTTTCTTCAGACCTCCACTGCCCATTTACAGAAGCTTCTACTGTTAATGATTCTTGTATGATCATTCAGATCATATACAAACACATGTTTATGGACAGATATCCTGTTGTTTCATGCAAAGAGGAGTGTGCTCTATAGTGTCCCAAAGGTTGCTTTGCCACTTCACATTGTTTCTGTCCCATCCCAGCATCAAGTCTGAGCTCTTTAAAAGAGAGAACTGAGTGCATGGAACTGATTATAGAATCCCTGAGAAGTCGAAGGATGATGAGACAGCCAAGAGATGAGGGATGACATAAAGCCATTACCCCCCTACCCTCGTGGGTCAAAGGGGAGAGATGGGGGCTTTTCTCACCAGAAGGAAGGTGGAACCACAGTGGTTCTGTCCAGTGGGATCTGGGCTCTGAAAAGACAGAGCTGCAGTCAGAAATACTGCCCCTCAAAGCTCCTGCCAGAGCTTTCCATTGGCCAAGCCCAGGCAGGAACCAGGAGGCATGGGAACCTGGGAACGCAGCGTGAGCTGGTGGGCTCTCCTGTGATACAGAGAAGAACAGGGGGAACAAGGGATGGTTTGTGGGGGCAAACAGACAGAGGATGGACACAAATATATATAGAAGTATCTTCTTTTTTCACCATAGCACAACATTCTAGTGTATGACTCTACCATCATTTATGGAACTAGTGCTCTACTGATGGACAGTTCAGTTGCTTCCAGTATTTTTCTGTTACGAGCAACGTGACGATGAGTATTCTTATGTGTACATCTTGGCACATTTAGGTGAGCGGACTTTTTTAAGGATAAATTCTTTGAAATCTACTTGGGGCAAAGGTATATGGATTTTGTGTTTGGATAAGTGTTTTCAAGTTGTTTCCCAAACACCTTACTATTAATATTAATCTTACCCCTTTGTTGGGGGCAGGGCGATAACTAAAATAAGTTACTACTACTCCCTGTAGCCTCTGTCACACGGCACTGAAAGGCGCACTGCATTCTTTAAGTGGGAAGGCTGGTTTTTCACGCTCTGTAAAGAAAGCTGCCTCATCGACGATTCAGGGCTGAACATCTTCTATTAGCCCACCAAGTGGAGGCTGCAAAATCTGTCTTAGTCAGCTTGTCCTGCCATATCAAAATACCATCGACTGGGTGGCTGAAACCACATACATTTATTTTCTCACCGTCTTGGAGGCTGAACGTTTGGGATCGGGGTGCAGCTTCTGGTGAGCCCTCTTTTTCTGGCTTGTAGGTGGCCACCCTCTCGCTGTGGGCTAGCCTGACCTCTTCCTTGTGTGTATTCAAAGAAAGAGAGCTCTCTCTTTTCTTACCAGGCTAGCAATTCTATCGAATTAGAACTCCACTCGGATGATCTCATTCAACCTTATTTACCTCCTAAAAGCTGTATCTCCAAATACAGTCACATTGAGGGGTAGGAGTTCAACATGTGAATTTGCAGGGAACACAGTTCAATCCATAGCAGTACAGTTCTGGCCCTTCGTTCAGGACTTATCTCATGCTTAATTTTCAAGGGAATTTAGACTTTTGCAGTACTTGCTGGAGTGCTCAGATAAATGTTATGAATATGTAACTGGAAAGCCACGCCTTTTCTCTCCCTCAAATTTCTTTTTTCCTCCTTTTCGGGACTCTTTTCCCCTCTTCAAAGCCTCCATAGTGAAGGCAGTTTCACTTTTCATGCCTACAGTACCTTCTAAAATGCATCACACGTTTGCAGATTCCAGTTGCTCTGACTGTATGCGGTTGGTAAGCTACTAGCAAGGGGGAGATCTTGTACATTCTTTGATAAAGGCTTTTAATAGAAGAGCTAAGTTACATTAAATAGCATCATATACCCTGCCCACTTGAACAAAGGAAAAAATATGTCAAGCCTTTCTGCACAGGCAACACACAGCACAATTTTCTGTTTGAAATGTCTGGCGAGGGTGGTGCCAAATTCATGATCCCTCTAAGGGGACGGGAGAGAAGTTGGGAGAAAGGAAAACAAATTTCAACAGGCCAAAACACGGTGGCTGTTGTTTTCTGCAACCAGAGGAAAAGATGTAACTCCTTGCTGATAAACACTTTGACCTTGCCTGCCAGTCATTCCAGTCACTTCAGCTGGAGTTTCCTGAAACTCAGACACCCATCTGGTGTCTACTCAGTCCCAAGAAATGGCTTCCTTAATTAAACAGAGATGTGTAT